CCCGGCGCCCGGCGGCTGTTCCGTACGCTGCGGGCCGACCTCGCGCGTCCCCCCCTGGGGCGGAGGGAGGGAGGGGCTTCCTGCGTCGTGTGACTGGCGCGGCCTGGCCGGCGGCGCCGAGACGGAAAAAGTGCCAATCCATGCGGGCAGCTCCAGCGGGAGGGCGCGCCAGTGGCCGCGTTCTCCCGGCCGCCGGGGCTTCTTTTCTGAGATCGGAAGAGCGTCGTGGGCGCGGCCTGGCCGGCGGCGCCGAGACGGAAAAAGTGCCAATCCATGCGGGCAGCTCCAGCGGGAGGGCGCGCCAGTGGCCGCGTTCTCCCGGCCGCCGGGGCTTCTTTTCTGTTAATCCGCGTCCGGGCCCGGTCGCGGGCGTGGCGCGCGCGCATCTCCGTGTGCATGGGTGTGTGTGTGTGTGTAGTGTGTGTAGTGTGTCTGGGTCGCTGTGCGTTGTCTGCGCGCGCCCACTAGGGGCGCCGCCGGGCCCGGCCCTCGGCCCGGCCCCGCCGGGCACTCCCCCGGAGCGACGTCCCCTGTCCAGGGCCCCGCGCCCGGGCGCCCCCGGGCGCCCCCGGCGCGCCCCTGTGTTCCCTGTCCCGGCGCCCGGCAAGCCGGAAGCAGGCCGACGCCGCTCGTCCTCGCCCGCGCGCACATCGGGGCTTTGCCAGTGCGCCGGCGGGTCGGGGACGGTCGGGCGCCACCGCGTGGCCCGGGGCCGCCCCGGGCCGGGCCTCTCCCGCGTGCGCCCGCCGCGCCCTGGCCTCGGCTTCCCCTGGAAAGGACAAAGCGACCTGCCACCTCTGACTGCCCCGCCCCCCGGCGCCCCTTGCGCCCGGCCGCCCCCGGGCTGGCAGCCGGTTACATGCCCGCCCATGCCCGCCCCCCCCCCCCCCCGGGCATGGGACCCCGGTGCCGGGCCGGCGGGCGAGAGGACCGGCAACCACCCATACAATAGCGCTCCTTCTCGGGGGCCGGAGCCCGGCGCCGCGGCCGGCCGCCCAGTCCCCCGCGATCACGCCAGGATCCGGCGGCCTGCGCCCATCCTCTGGCGCCCCCCGCCCCCCGGGCGGCGCCCACGCGTGCGTTGCCCTGGGGACCGGATCAGTGGAGGTGCGGGCGCGGCACTGTGCGTGTGTGCATGTGTGTGCGTGCGCGCATGCTTGCGCGTGTGTATCTGGGCACATGTGCTGTCTGATCCGAGGGGGGGCCAGGCAGGCAGGCAGAGCGAGCCCTCGTATACGGGGAGGATGAGCATGCGGCGCGCGCCCGAGCACGGTCGCCAGCTCACATACACACACCCGCACGCGCAGACACCGACGCGAGCCCACACACAGGCGCAGCAGATGCGGGGGCGCCGATTACGCGAGCGCGCCCACACTCCGATGACACGCAACGCCCGGGGGGGGGGGGGGGGCCGGAGGACAGCCGGCCCGTGTGTTCGACCGTCCCTCGGGCGGGGCGTTCGCTTGGGCCGCCGGTCGGCGTGGCCCGGCCCGGGCGCGCGCACACGCGGGAGGGGGGGGGGGCACATGACTGGCCCGCCCTGCAGACGCGGCGCCCTTTCGGCCGGCCGGGCCCCCTCGCCCCGACCGCTGTGCCCGGCTCCTGGCGCCCGGCTCCGGCATCGGGGCAGCGATCAGGGGCGTTGTCCGGCCCCCCCCCCCCCCCCC